CATAGGTAGGTGGTTTGCTTGAGTTCTCAGTAGAAACAAGAGATCTAAATTATCTAGAAAAATACCATATCAGTAACAAGGTTTTAATTTAAAGAGATATTGAAATGATTTTGCCTTAACCCAGTGGTTCCCAAACTTGGCAACTTTAAGACTTGTGGACTTCAATTCCCAGAATTCTCCAGCCAGCTCTGCTGGCTGGAGAATTCTGGGAGTTGAAGTCCACAAGTCTTAAAGTTTCCACGTTTGGGAACCACTGGGTTAAGGCAAAATCATTTCAATATCTCTTTAAATTAAAACCTTGTTACTGATATGGTATTTTTCTAGATAATTTAGATCTCTTGTTTCTACTGAGAACTCAAGCAAACCACCTACCTATGTGCCATATCTTCAGAATACCATATTTTCATCTCCTCCTCCTCCTGCAGAGTTAAATAAATTTAGTGTTGGTAAAATAATAATTTTAGTTGAAGTGATGCATTTTGTCTGTTGAAAGAGACTAGTTCTAGGTCAAGTAATATAGTGGTGAGTGGTCTGGGCTGGCTTATTTTGAGTGTAATTCTGTGAATTGAGCCTCTGTGTGGAACATGCTCATTATAGGAGGTATACCAAAGGGATGGAAGAGGCCATCTTGTGACTAGATCACATGGTTATCCTCAGTGATTATACACTGATTTTTTTCCTATCATTTACAAGCAGTCTGAAAAGCACCTGTTTCTTTTGTAGGATAATGGTAATGGAACATGTCAGTAAGCCTCAGCTTTGGAATATCTTTAACCAAATCACCATGCATTCCCAAGACGTCCGGCACCATCGCTTCTGTCTACGATTACTGTTGAAGAACCCAGACAATCATGCACTGTGTGTTTTAAATGGCCACAATGCTTTTGTATCCGGTTGTTTCAAGCATGCCCTTGGTATGTTTCTTACTGTTCTTAATTTAAAAATTGCAATTGCAGTGTGTGGAGATGTACGTAGAATTATGTCTTGTGTATTTGGAGATAGGTCATATAAAACTGGAATATCATAAGCTGTGGTTTTACTATTTTGCACAAACAAAATTGGAGAATAGCTGCAACCAATGCTTTGGATTAAACCATTTCACCCGAGCGAGGGCCAAACTATGATGAAACAGTAGAGGGCATCCTTGGGCATAAGTAATGAACAGCAACCACATCAACATGCCTTGTGATAAACAGGGACTTTGTGATTTATCATTCCCATCTTGCCCATATGTAGTTTTCCTACTCATTAACAATAGGCAAACACAACTACAGCCATTCTGTCAAAATTTCAGACATGCCCACTGGCCCAAAACAGCTGTTGTTGTTTTTTAACTTCAATAAATAAAATGGTCCATAGATGTATTGCTGGTTTAAATTGTTTTCAAAGCTTTTTCAGTAAAATATATCCAGTCATACGTGACATTCCAAAAATCTTCGCTGCTTATTTCTTTGCAGGGCAATATGTACAAGCATTCCGTACTAACCCAGATGAACCCCTGTACAGCCTTTGCATAGGCTTGATTTTCATCCACATGGCATCTCAGAAATATGTTTTAAAAAGACATGCCCTCATAATACAGGTGTGTTGTCTTTCTCTCACAACTTTCGTGTACAAACCCTTACCTCATCTTAAATGGTATAAAATTCCTTCTAAATTTATTTAGGCAAGTCTTCAAGAATTGACCGTAAAAATAATCCATATATTCTTGTAAAAGTTATCTTGCAGGAAATATCTTTTATGTGGCGCTGGGTTGTAAGCAGGTTAATCAGTATTACCAAGTCGTACTGGGAATGTGTAATTTGTTTTTCAGAAGAAAAGATAATTAACCAACTATCAGGCCTGCAGCCAGTTCCATTTAAGATCTTTGGCCTGCCACACACTCTTTACTATGCTGTTTCATTAGTGGGGAAATGGGAGGGGGAATAGTAAGGTGTAGAATGTGTTGTTTTCAAAATAAATAAAAATTCCTTTCTAAAAATCAAGGTCATCTTTTGTCTCTGCACCTGACCGGAAGTGGATGGGTGGAAATGCCAGCGTAGCATAGGAAGATTGGACCATGTGATGGGCTTGTGGGTGTGGGGACAAGATCATGAACTTTCCCGGGAAGCTTTCAGATTCGGGTTTATCGCAGATGTACCAACATGTCTCTCTTAATAAATTGGAACTTTGAGGAAAGCTCTGCCTTGAACTCTGATTTAATTCTGGAGGATATTTGGAACGCTGACACCAACAATCTCTGTCAATTAATCCCATTAATGTTTTATTATCCACATTTTCCAAGACTTATAAACTAGTGCAGTTTAATAGTCTTATTGGTGGGAGATTTACTACTGCAAAATGTTTTGTGGAATATTTATGGGGACTGATTAAATGCTATCAAGTTGGTGTCAACTCCTTAGTGAGCACATAGACTTTCTCGATACTGCTGGTTCTCTTCTCTTTCCTTCCATCCTTCCCAAAACCCTTTTCCAGGGAGCTAGATCTTCACATAGTATGTTCAAAGTAAGGTAATTTGAGCTTCATCATTTGTGCCTCGAAAGACAATTCTGGGTTGATTGTTCGATAATCTATTTGCTTTCTTGGCTGTCTTTGGTTCCTCAGAAGTCTCCTCCAACACTAAATTTCCAAAGCATCAATTCTCTTCCTAGCCTGCTTCTTCAAAGTCCAGCTTTTGCTTCCATAGTGCATCATAAGGAATAATATATTTTACTGTATTTAATGGTGGCCATATGTGAATTTAAGTCTGACAGTATTACTTCTGATGTTTCGATTGTTAACTTGTAATTTTTAATTTTTGCAATAGTGAAGTTTTCCTTTTGTATTTAGGGGTTTTCATTCCTGCAACGGTACCTGAGCCTTCGTGGTTCTTGTCAAGAATCTTATTACAACTTAGGACGTGCCCTTCATCAACTGGGATTAGTACATCTTGCTATTCACTATTACAAAAAGGCCCTGGAATTACCTCCATTGGTCCTAGAGGTACTGTGTGTGGAACAGCATTTGATTAGGATTTGAATGTTAAGACGTGTGAACATTCTCACGAAGTGCCAACCTCTATAGGCTCACGTGTTCCTATATCCCCCCTTTCCAATTCTGTTTTCATCACCAGTAAAAAACAGAACATGCATATCCATGTTGGCATCTTTGGATAGTTATACAAAGGTGTTTATAAAATATTTATGGTTTTAACTCTCATGTGTGTTGTTAATTTAAACATGAGAAAACCATAGATATATTATAAAGTGAATGTCAACTGCCTCATGGCTTCTTGATGAAAAGCAATAACAAATCAGCATTTGACAAGCTGCCATTTCAGTTGGAACACTCCCCCTCCCCCCCAATCATCCACAGTTTCAATTTGGCCATTCATATCCAGTGCCAAATTTCTTCCCTTTCATGACTTAAGTATTTATGGTTTTCCTGATAATGCTGTTTCAATTCTTCAAAATGTTTAGAGGGAGCCTGTTTTGCATTCTCTGACCTATCCCCAAAGCATTTATGATTCAAACTCTGCCCTGAAATTTAAGAAAATTGTTATTTAAACCATCGTATTTTATTACTGTTCCAAGCATAGTCGCATGCCATTTAAATCCTTTGAAAAGGCCAAGCAGAATATAGTCAATTTTGCAATGTGCTGAAGTAAGAGATTTATCCCTTATTTATAGTTGTTTTAGAAGATTCCAGAAAATGTAATTGCCACATTACATTTCCATGTGCAGGATTTTTTCCAAAATTAAACTATTCTAAAGATTTGGATTCAGGGAAAGACAGTGTCTATGTTTATTGCTGACTGGAAACTGCTTTTTCCATAATTAGAAAAAAATCAACTTATAATTTATAGTTTTGATGATTAGATAGATTAATAAGAGTAGAGTTATAATTCTATGTATAACTGCTGTAAAGCAGATTGGCAACTTCTTTTTCTTTTCTATTTGTCTCCTTTTTTTCCTTTCTTGCACTTTTAGCTTTCTCTGTATTTTTATTTTTCTTAGTTTGTATTAGTTTTTAAACTTTCTTTAAAATGTTTAAAAATAAATTTTAAATTCATATATATATG